CATTTGTTTATTCTTTCTATTGTTTCCCTTCTCTGAGAAGGCATGGTGTCCGAAAAGATCCTTTTAATACTGATGTCAAAGAATGTACTGCCTACGTTTTCTTCCAGAAGCCTATGGTTTCAGGTCTCACCTTTAGGTCTTTGATCCATTTTGAGTTTATTTTGGTGAATGGTGAAAAAGAATGGTCAATTTTCATTCTTTTACATGTGGCTTTCCAGTTTTCCCAGCACCATTTGTTGAAAAGTATGGTCAATTCATTCTTGACAAGGTGTCAAGACAATGCAATCAGGAAAGGATACGCTTTTCAACAAATGGTGCCAGAACTGGATATCCATACACATACATAAAAGTAAGATCTCTACTCCCATCATACACAAAAATTAACTCCTAAATGAGAGAGCTAAAACATAGACTAAAATCATGGTGACTTTGGATTAGGCAAAGATTTCTTAGATATGGCATCAAAGATATTATCCATAAAAGAAAAAAATTATTGATAAATTGAACTTGATCAAAATTTTAAAAGTTTTTTCTTCAACAGACACCATTAAGAAAATGAAAAAGCAAGCCACAAACTGGGAGAAATTATTTACAGAACATATATCCAACAAAGCAATTGTGCATAGAATAAACAAAACTCTTACAACTCAATAATGAAAAGACAAACCACCCAATAAAAAAAAGGTAAAAGATTTGAATGGATAATTCACCAAAGAAGATATATGAATATCTAATAAGCATTCAAAAAGCTACTCAACATCATTGATGCAATTCGTTGTATGTCAACTATAATTCAAAAAAATGTGAAAAATAAAATTAATTGATCACCTTTGGGAGTTGTAAGGGCATCAACTCATCATTCTAAAAATTAGTAGAAAACAAAAAAAGTCAAGCAACATTGTCCAGGCTTTTCTATGTGAATTGTGCTTTAGGAAAACCAAATAGTCAATGGAATAATAGAATTAGAAAACCACTATTGTGTAATCCTTAATAAAATAACAAATCTAACAAAGAGCCTCAATGGCTGCTAAAACCATCAGGTTAGAGGCTGATGTGGAATTTCATAACGGATGTATTAGGCTGACCACATCTGAAATCACCAGTGAAATGAATATCACTAAATGTGGAACAACCAGACACATACTTCCTCTTGTGATGCAATGGTACATAGTACCACCGATAATATATTTTTGGGAAAAAAAACTTTTAATCTGAATTTTATCAAGTTTCTAGATCTAATTGTCAGAGGGGATTGAAGAACATGTTAAAGGATGCCTTGAGGATGCAATTAGCTAAATTATGTGGGAAATTCTACAGATCAACAAATAAATATCATAAAAAGGAGTTGGGAAAAAGGGAACGGGTACAAATTAAAAAGCAACGAAAGCTGTATCGATCAACCGCAATGTGTGGGCCTTGTCTGGATCTGGATTCAAACAAACCAACTGTAAAAATACCTTTCAGAGGTAAGTGTGGAAATTTGAGTACAGACTAGATATTAGATGATGCAGAGGCAATGTTATTAATCTTTTTAAGTGTAATGATGCATGGTTATGCTTTTTTAAAAAGTAGTTACCTGTTGGGTATACATACTGAAGTATTTACAAGTTAGGTTAAACTATATCTGGAACTTCCTTTAAAATATTCCAGTGATGGCGCAGGGGTAGGGGAGAATGCTGTGGGAATGATATCGATGAAACAATGTTGACAATTCTTGAAAATCGTGATGGATGGATACATGGGGGTTAAATATACTATTTTCTCTACTTTGGGGTACGTTTGAAATTTTCCATAATACAGAACTGGGGTTTTGTTTGCTGAATTTTAAGTGGGCTGTGTTCTGACCTGCCAGAGCTCAATAGGAGTATTCCCTCCCTTTAACCACCTAGAGGCCAAGCGCTCAATATCTGCGGGGCGCGCATGCGAGAAATGAGTCAGATTAAGAAAACAGCAAAGCAAGCTGGTGAAGCAGTTGCAGCGGGCACCCGCCTCTGTGTTGGGGATTAACGGAGAGTTGTGGAACAGAAGATCACATGCCCATCCAAACAGGGTAGCCAATGTTGCCATGTGGGAATAAGGGCCCCAGAGGACCAAATCTTCTAATTTTTCATTAGAAACTTGAAATCTGGGCATTTCAGTAAAATCTCCCCATATGTGGGCAAATGATTACACATTTTTCACACACTTTGCAAGTCAGTGCTAGAAAGCTAAACAAAACCTGTCTAGAGGCTAGATTTGTTCCACAGACTGCTGTGTTGTGATCCCTGACACTACACCATGTAATGCATTTTATAGTAATGCATTAATAATTGGTTGACATTCCTAGCAATTGGGTCATATGGCTGGACAACTGAGGTTGCATCCATCTGAAGTCCCCAAACCCTTTACAAGCAAACAGCTGTCAAGCCAGGCATCCCCCACACTGAACTCTGAACTGAACACAGGCTCACAATCATCTCTATCAAATTGCATCTTGTCATGTGTCACAAACACTTGTCTCTGGATTGACTCTACTCTTCCTCCAAATTCTACTGAATCTGCACTCCCTTCTGGCTTTGTATCACACAGTGTTCACAGCCTTTCTTCATCCACGCCATCTACAAAGCTAACATCCACCTGGGGTGTCAGACTTCTCTCCTGCCAGGTATCTGCAGCTACTCAGCTATAACTTCACCCATCCTTCCAAGTTCGTCCACCTCATGTTTACCCACCTTCCTCCTTGAAGCCACTATACATTATAGACAGGCCTAATCCACGAATCTTGTGGTGACAATAATGCCACCTTACATCTGTATGGTACTTTATGGTTTTTAAAACATTTTTCAAAAATTTTCTGACTTGATCTTTATCACCCATCACAACCTTAAAAAAATCCTATCAATATCACATTGTTAAAATCTGCCAGTAGTCTGTTTGTTTATTTGTAACTCACTAATAATTTCCTAGCTGGGGATTTCTAGATTATGTAGACAAAGGGCAACTAAGTTAGCTTCCTTCCTTCCTATCTCACCATCCCACAAGAAAAATAGTTCTCCAAACCACCACCATTCCAGCAACAGCCAACAGGGACAGAAACAAGATTGAAGAGGAAGAATGTTCTAACTGTGAGAGTTGACAGAAAATGGAATGGTTTGCCTTGTGAAGAAATGAGGTTTTGATGCTGGAAGTTTTCAACTAGGAGCTGGGGTTTTGTAGAAGGGATTCCAACGTGGATAGGCAGTTGGGCAGATGATCTCTCATTCATTTGTTTCCATCCATGTGGGGAAGCTGCTCTGTGCTCAGCTCTCAGGAGTACCTGACCAGTTCTTGTAGTGAGCAGACTCTGAAGGGCAGAAGCCTACACTTGGTGAGGTTTTATTGCTTTGTACATTTTAAAATTAATTCCCTTTTTAAAAGCAGTTCTCAGCAAATTTTCTTTTAAAAATGCCAAACTTTTCTCCATTGTTCAAGAAGAGAGAGAATCCATACAATGGAATATGGTTCAGCCATAAAAAGAAACGAAGTACTGATACCAGGTAGGATATGGGTGAATCTTGAAAACTCAAAGACGCCAGTCACAAAAGACCACGTATTATATGATTCCATTCATATGAAAGTCCAGAATAGGGAAATGTATAGAGACAGAAAGTAGATTAGTGGTTACTTAGGGCTGGGGTGGGGGGCCAGAGGGGTGATAGCTAAATGATACAGGGTTTGTTACTGAGGTGATAAAAATGCTCTAACAGTGACTGTGGTGATGGTTGCGCGTATCTGTGGATATGCTAAACTCCATTGAATTGTACACTTTACATGGGCTAATTGTATGGTATGTGAATTATATCTCAATAAAGCTGTTTTTTTTTTTTAATTAAGCGAACTTTTAAAAAATTGGATAGATTTTTGTTCCAGGCTTTGGCTAGATTTCTAAAGGGAGTTCTCCCTGCTGAGGATAAGCCTGTGCGAGAGGCTCTGGTCGGGGGAGGAACTGGCCGCCAGGTTAGGGGAGGGGGGTGGAGTTTCTCACATTTCAGTCGCCTTGAGGCCCCCCCATTCTGAATCCGGGGCTGGGGTTAGTAGCCAAGGGGACAGACAAGGCTCCACCCTCAGCCCACTTTCTCTGAGCTTTCTAGGTCTTGCTTCTCACCACTCCTGGTAGTATTTCCACCCCAGGTTTTAACTACTAGCACTTCCATAAAAACAGCTGAAACCACTCTTTTGGGAGAACGCGCCCGGGAGGCCTCTCACCCCAACTAAACTGGTTCCCTGCTTCGTCCACACCTCCTGGGGATGTGATGCACCCCCTCATCCTTGTCAACGCAGCCCCCGCGTCTCCGAGGGGTGTTCCTGTGCTGGCTTCAAAAACCAGCTGGCCACACGGGGGGAGGGAGATTTTCTGGCCCCGGGAGGTCTTCTGAACCTGGGATTTGAGGCATGCATGAAACGACACCCGCCACTCGAACATCACTAGAAGACGTCTGCTCTCCGTTTTGCCAGCGAATTCCACCACTCCAGACTGACACCGGGAGAAGAGGCGCGAAATGGGGAGGGGAAACGCCCTAGGCAATTTCTCAAACTCTGCAAATCCGCCCAGGGAGGCCCGGGTGTCTGGGTATGGGAGAAGGGGGTCTAGGGGTCTCTGCAGATCTGAGGGAGGGGGTAATGACTAGTTATTACTAGTTTAGGAAGGGAGCGGCTGCTGCACTAGCGCCCCCGCGCCGGGCCTCGGGCCCCAAATCCCGCGAGTGGTCGCCCAGCTCGGGCCCCGCCACCCAGCGCGCGCCGCGCTGCACCCTGCCCTGGGCAAGGGGCAGCGACCGGGAACCCGGGCCTGGTCGCGGCGCCAGGAGCTCGGACACGCCCGGTGTTTTCGATTTCGATGCCCAAGCAGGGCCCCATCACCGCTGCAGCGTCTTGGGACCTCCCGTCCGCATCCCCGGGACTGGGTGTCGTTAAAGGAAACGCCTAGGAGGAGAACTAGGAGGGAGCAGTAGGCAAACGTCCGGGTTCGACCGGCTGGATGGTGCGAGAGAGCAACAAGTCGCTTGGAAAGTGGGTAAGAGGCTCCACTGCGAGCTGCTTCCTGCCTGCGGCGGAGCGGGACGTGCGCGCAGAGAACTCAGAGACAGGAACTGAGAAGGCTAAAGAGAGACTAACTCGGTCCCTTGGGCAAGGAGATAAAAGGAAGGTCCGGTACCCAAAAGGGACGTGCTCCAGGTGAGGCTCGAACTCACAACCTCGGCATTGCTCTGCATGTACTGCTGTATAAGTACCGCGCGCTAACCGATTGCGCCACTGGAGCTCCGCTTAGCCGGCCTCGCGATGGTTCTATCAGGGTTCACGCAGGCCCGGTGCGGGCCTTCGCGGAGCATGCGCACCCGTGGCTCCGGGCTCGGCGGGAACGAGCTCCGGCCTCCAGCCTCCTACAGCTTCCAGCCCGGCGGCCCATGCCGAGTGAGCCCGGGCATCCTGCGCGGTCTCTTCGGGGATGGGGGTCCGGCTGGCAGGGCCGTGACAGGCGGGCCACTGGGGCCTTGGAGGAAACGCAGCCCGCCTCCCCGGCAGCGCGGGAGGGGCAGCCCCGGCCGCCCCGTCTGCAGCCGCCTCCGCGTCCTCCGTGGAGCTTCGCCTCCCGGGCGCGGGCCCCGCGAGGAGGGGGCCTGGCCAAGGGACCGGGCGGCGGCCAGCGGGCGGGCTTCGCTGCGGGGGTGCCGCGGGCCGGAGGGTGGGGCCGGGCGGGGCGGCCTCGGCTCTCCGGCCGCAGATGCCACCGCGGGTCCAGGAAGCGGGAGGACGCGGCCCGCACGCCCCGCGCCGCCCTGCAAGTCGGCGGGAGCGGGAAACCCCTCGAATGAGCGAATCCGGCGCCTGCCAATGGGGCGGCCGGGGAGCGCCCGGCCGGGGGCGGACCGAGGGCGGCGACCGAGCTCCACGACCGGACAGGGCGGGGGTTTCAGCAGCAGAGCCTTGCGTACCCCCGTTTTTCCGCGGCCCTTCTTCCGTCGTGAGCGGGGTGCCCGGAGCCCTCCAGGCGGGAGGGGTGTCCCCAAAACCGCGCCAAGCCCCGGGCATTCCGGGGACATCTCGATCGCCCGACCCTTGGGAAGGTTGCAGGCTAAGCCCCTGCGCGTTTTGTTGGGCCACATCGTGTTTGTTTTAATTTTAAAACTAGTTCCTAGTATTTAAAATCAAGAGGTCTCATACAAGTATCTGGATATCCATCTCTTTTTTTATAAACCAGAAAATATAAACACGGTACCCGGGGCCGAATCATGACTGTCCTGTGCTCTAGGCACTTTGTTTTCGTGGGCACCTTCCTCCATTTAAAAAAAAAAAAAAAATCGTTTTCGTTATATTTTACTACTGCCAAATAAAGGCAGATATAATCCAGGCTGGATTTATTGTTACATTCATTATTACTATATTCATTTTTTCTCCTGATTTGAAAAGAATTTAAAATGTAAACATTTTTGCAGGCTCTAGGCACTGTACTCCCTGTACCTAACTGATAACTCTCCCGGGAGCCTGCATCCCCTGGGAGGGTAGCTGCGGCCACCTCCACACAGTGCCCGCGGCCCCCTCGGTCTCTTCCTCCAGGGTTGCCTCACTCGGTTGTCTCAGGGGCCTCTGTTGGCATGTTGGTCACCCTGTTTGGTGACCTCTGCTTTCCTGGGAGAGCCAGAAGAGCAAATAACAGAACACTGGTAATAGATTAGGGGAACTGGCATGAGCAAGCGATGGGTGCAGAATAAAGATTATGTAGGTAGTCACCTATCCGATGGGCACTTGTCCACAGTAACAGGTTGTGTTAGGGTGACTGGCAGTAGCATTGCAAAAAGCCTTGAAATTTGAGCAGAAAAGATTAGAGTGATGAGGCGGACCATGAGGAGCCAGCGACAGGTTCTGTGTAAGGCAGGGGCCTCCTGAGGGTGGTGTTTTTAGGAAACTCAATGCCGCATACAGATTGGGGTTATCCACCCAGCAAAAAGAGGTCCGTGAGATTTTCCGGATGATTTTGTAAACTATGAGAGACACACATCCAGAGCAAGAGTTCAGAAAGAGGATGGTCAACACTCCTGCAAGATCCCATCAGGCACCACCAGCCAGGTGGTGGATGCAGAGCTGTTTACAACCGTGCTAGCACTGGGGCTCCTTGGAACATGCGTGGGTGAGTCCAGGGTAAATCAAGGGCAGCAGAGAGTGAGCCTTTGAAATAAGTCCCTCCCAAAAGTTGGAACCTTTACCTGTAAAGGTAAATGCATGGTTTTCCCCCCTAAATTGAAAGGAGTTAATTTCCTGATAAACAAGAAAGTAAGTTGTGGACCCATACACAGTGTCTTCTCACTCCCAGTAGCATTTGCAGAGTCTGCTCTTCCTCCCTCCTGAGCCCCTCAGGTAGAACCCACCTGGTGAACTGTGAGCAGCAAAGTTGGCCCCTGGTGGTCCAGCTTCCTTTCACACTTCCCGCATTCATGGATCTACTCCTTTATTAATTCAGCAGATATTGACTGATCCCTGGTTTCATGGCAGGGGAAGGCAGCACCTCATGAAGCCTTTGGGAACTAAAATAGCTTAGTCCTCAAGGAAATTGGGGCTCTAAAGGAGGAACCTAGTGCGAGCAATGCTCAAGGTGGAGGGGGGCCATGTCAGAACCTCTGCCACCAGAGAGATGTTCCAGCCAAGGAGAAGTCTCCTGAGACCTTCAAATCACAACTTCATATAGACTGACTTCATATAGAGCAGTGAATTAAGAGTCTGAGCTGTGGCCCTCCCTGGCTGTGTGACCTTAAGTAAGTCTCTTACCCTCTCTGGGCCTCAGTGGCCTCATTTATAAATTGAGGGATCTAGACCAGATAAGAGCTTTCTAGCCTATCTCAACTGGAGAGCTCCTTTCACCATGTACACTCTTGCCAACACCTTGAGATTATTTAATCACTTAATAATTTGTGTGATCTGTAATACAGAAGTGATTTTTAAAATAAAAAACTTTAGATACATGTATAATTTTAAAACAATCTTGAGTAATACCCATAATATAAGAAGACTAGCCTCAACCTTTTTCCATTTACCATGTAATGCAAAATGTTTAATTTACTGTAAATTAATTGTGTAGAGGAAAAGCATGCTTTGTTAAATAACTTTTAAAAAAACATATATCATATTTGGTATTGGGACAAATGTATATTAAAATGTATGAAATTTAATGATTCATTGTAGCATCAAAAATAGACAAAAACTGCTTTCCTAAGTGAATGTTTGGAATTTTTGCACTTTGAAAAAAAACCAGTTTATTTTTATTACTCTCATGTTCTTGTGTCTAAATGATAAAACAGAGTTCAGGCTGCTATATGAAGGCACCGTTCTGCAAATAACATCAAGTGGGAATGGCTGGTCTCTAGTCTTATTAATGAAAGGCTGCATTGGACATAATGGTCGCTGTATTTTGTCTTTTTAGCTTTGGTTTCTGACATACAAGAGACATCAGGGTGAGCCAGATGAACATTTTGATTAGCTGAATGCAATTTGCACATCTAGTGACTGATCATCTTGAGTCAAATTTGTAGAATTTTCATTTTATGGTCTTCCTTTACTTCATTTCAGCAAACATTTTATATTTTCTATCTCTAGCCAGCATTCCATTATGGGTACATATTAAGCAGTATATGGCTAAAAAATGTTGCTATAGAGCAGTCAAAACCCACATAGGAACCACCTGAGCAGCTGAGTCACACACGTGCGCGCGCGCGCGCACACACACACACACCCCCCCCTGTGTTCAGGGACTGCGGCAGATGCTGGTCAACATGCAGTCAGACGCTCCCAGAGTGATCCTATTTTAATGGGCAAGAGGTTGTCTGAAGAATTATCTTAATTATTATTTTTCTAAATAGAAGTCTAAAAGATGTCACTGCCACCTGTAGCAGTTCAGACCATCTTGAATGCCTCTCAAAACCCCTGGGATTAAGCAGCGTCTAAGATCCCTTCCTACCCTAATAAACCACGATCCTCGCCAGCCCCATGTGGGGAAATGATCCTTTATTTTCCCTTAGGAGGAGAAAGATGTGTGGGTCCCAAGGTCCAAGTTCTAGGGAAGTGTGATGCAGATTTGAACCAATTACACCTGAGAGGAGAGCATGATAATAACTCTGGGAAGCACAGGTCCCTTCGCTCTCGACTGAAGCTGAAATGAAGACATGCCGAGAGCCTATCAGATGTGAAAAAATGTTAAAAATCGGTAACATCCAACGTCGGTAAGATGTGTGGGGAAATGAACACTGTTCATTTTTGTTTTGTTTTTAAGACAGTTTAGCAGAATCTATCAAATGCATATATCCTTTGATCCAGCAGTTCCCTTTCCAGGAATCTCTCCTATAGAGACACTCACACATGTGAACGAATATACCATATTTCATCAAATCTAAGACGCCTGAAGCCGTAAAATGTACTGTTACTTTCTGTACCCTTAAGAAAGAAAAAATGCTGCCATTTTAACTATGACACCATGCTTTCATATCACTTAGACTTTTCATTTGATACTTATTAAAAGACCTCTTTTAGACAGAGACATACTCTTTTTTTTTTTTTTTAATCATATGTTACCCTTGAAAACTACTACTTTCTGCTCAGTTTTTCAGCCTCTCAGTTTCTTCCACTTATAAACCAGCCGGCGCCTCAAGGAGGGGAGGAGCTCAGCGGGTCCGCCTCACCGCCACGCATGTCTCTCTCCCTGGAATCTTGGCCGCTCAGCCCCTGGACTGTCCGGGGAGCTCTTTCTTTCCTTCAGGCAGATCGGTGCGTCTGTATATACTGTATTTCTAGCTACCATCAGTGGGAGAAGTTTGATAGAAAATGAAACGTCAAGAGCTAGCGTGATCACGTAATTCATCCTCCAAATCTGAACATTTCTGAGGGTGATAGGGGTATGGTTAATAATACTGCATCCATGAGCCTAACTTGTGACTGTCACAGACAGCCAGGAACACATGGCCTCCCTAATCATCACCCCCTTTGTACTGCTATAAATACATAAAACAGAAACAGGACAGATTCCCCATTAAATCTTTTTTAATTATGAGAACATGGATGGAGTGTGTGCCAGTTATTAATTGAGTGCTTCTCTGCTCCAAATACAGCCTTCTTTGCCCTGCTCTGTGATCCCGTCGGCTAGTGCCAACGGTTAGGCCTTGTCGGTGGAAGGTGCTAGAGGAACTCTGAAGAGGCTTCTCTTTGGGCGCTTCCAGCACAGCTGCCAGTGGGCGGCTTCCCTGTGAGATTTCGCCATCACCCAGCACAGTTCTGTGCTTGCCAACCCCAGCCTGCAGCCCCTCAGCAAACTTCTTGGCCATCCGGTGGGCCACCACCACGCCCTCACTGAGGAGTTCTGAGTCTCAGCTTGGGCGGGGAAGGAGGGCCTTTTCCAAGTTTATTCCTTCCGTGGGTTTTCTGTGTCATCTCTGGAGGTAGTGCTGCTCCCTTTATCCGTTATTCCTGTATTCGTTAGCGTTCCATTTACCCTTCTTAGTAGTTAAGCCCGTTTACTAGTTTCTAGTTCTTTATACTGAATTTTCCCTGTTCAAATTACTGGTGTGGTTTCTGCCTCCTGACTGGATCCTGGCGGATACAGGATGCATTAATTATTTCTTTTACTTGTCATTTGAGAGCAAAATCTTTCAAAGAATATGGAGAACATGGTGGTAGGTGGGTAAAAATAACACACTTAGACAGTGCTTACCGTGTGCTGGGCACTGTTCTAGGAACTTTACGTCCTACTAATTGAATCCTCGTGTCCACCCTATGAAGTAAGTAGCATTATTATTTCCTTTTACAGGTGAGCGAACTGCGGCAGAGCTGAGGTTACCTAAGTAAGCGGTAGAGCTGGGAGTTCTCCATGCCCGCCACTCTATACAGAGTCGAGTGCTCAATTTGCCACTGGAGAAGGAGACCCTGGAGAATGCCTGGCATTTAGACTGTGCCTCTCATGGGTTACCCTCAAGAGAGGCACTAGTCAGGCTCACTTGCATGATGGTGGCCAAAGGGCCTTAACTTGAAACCTGGGAAAGACCGGACAGAACTAGGACCAGGAGGGAGAGGTGAAAACCAGCACCCAGGTATGGTGGGCACCTGAATGCCCGAAGCCCTCCCGCTGAGAAGATGGGGTAGTTCCTGTGTCTCTTAAGGCAAGCGTTGAACCTGAACCTACTGGACCAGGTACAGGATGGCAGGTCTTAGAGACGAAGCACGGAAAATGATGGGGTCTCCCTTTAAGAGGAGGAAGGAAGAGTCTTAACGGAGACAGCCATGGAACTCTGGGGTTTCAGTGACACTCAGGGCGTTCTTTGGGTCAAAATTTTAGTGTGAGTAAGACAGGTCACCTTTGATCATGTCTCTGTTCAGCCAACAACTGACTGAGTGGCTTCAATAATATTCCTTTGCACGGACACACCACAGTTGATTTAGTCGTTCTCCTATTAATGGACATCTTGGATTATTTCTTGTTTGGAGCTATTATAAATACAACTGCTAAGAGCATTCTTGCACAAGTGTTTTTGTTTTTTTTTACAGTAAATACAGGAGTGGAATTGCTGGTCATAAGGTAGGTTGGTGTATAGTTTTTTTTAAGTGTTTTTTATTGTGGTAAAATATACATAAAATAAATTTACTACTTTAACCATTTTAAGTGTACAATTCAGTGGCATTAGGTACATTTACATTATTGTGCAACCATCACTGCTACCCATCTCTAGAACTTTTTCATCACCCCAAACTGAAAATCTGTACCCATTAAACACTAACTCCCAACCCCCCCTCCCCCAGACCCAGATAACCACTATTCTACTTTCTGTCTCTACAGATTTGACTATTCTAGCTGCCTCATATAAGTGGACTCATACAATATTTGTCCTCTTGTGTCTGGCTTATTTAAGTTAGCATAAAGTTTTCAAGGTTTATCCGTGTTATAGCATGTGTCAAAATCTCGTTCCTTTTTAAGGTTGAATAATATTCCATTGTATGTACATACCACATTTTGTTTATTCATTCATCAGTCAGTGGACACTTAGGTTGCTTACGTCTTTTGGCTCTTATAAATAGTGCTGCTATGAACGTGAGTGTACAAATATCTGTTCGAGTTCCTGCTTTCACTTCTTTTGGATATATACCCAGAAGTGGAATTGCTGGATCATGTGAAATTCTGTTTAATTTTTTGAGGAACCACCATACTGTTTTTCACAGCAGCTGCACCATTTTACATTCCCCCCAGTAATGTGCAAGGATTCCAGTTTCTCCCCATCTTCACCAACACTTGTTTCTATTTGTTTGGGGGGTTTTTTTTGTAGTAATAGTCATCCTAATGAGTGTGAGGTAGTATCCCATTGTGGTTTTGATTTGCATTTCCCTAATAATTAGTGATGTTGAACATCTTTTCATGTGGTTATTGGCCGTTTGTTTATCTTCTTTGGAGAAATGTCTATTCAGATCCTTTGCCCATTTTTTAATTAGGTTGTTTGGTTGTTTTGTTGTTGAGTTTTAGGAGTGCTTCATATAATCTGGATATTAATCCCTTATTAGCTATGTGATTTGCAAATATTTTCTCCCATTTGGTGAGTTGCCTTTTCACTCTCTTGATAGTGTCCTTTGATGATCAAAATTTTTTAATGTTAGAGAAGTTCTATGTTTAGTTTTATAAGAAACTGCTAAACCTTTATTTCCAAACTAGTTGTGTCATTTTATACTCCTGCCAGCAATGTTGAGTGTTCCAATTGCTCTACATCCTTGTTAACGCTTGGTGTTGTCAGCCTTTTTAATCGTAGCCATTATACTGGTTAAACCAGGGTGTGTAATAGCATCTCATTGTAGATTTAATTTGTATATCCCTGATGACTAATGGTATCGAGCATTTTTTGACATACTTATCGGCTATTTGTACGTCTTTATGAAATGTTTGTTCAAATCTTTCACCCATCATTTGGTTGCTTTTTTCAGTTTGTTTTGTCTTTTTTGTTTTTGGGGTTTTGGTCACTTTTTTTTTACTAACTTGTAGGAATGGCTGATATTTCTCAGTTTCCTCATCTGTAGATAGCAGGTATGAATTCCTTCATGACACCTGGGTTATAAGAAAAGCCAAGCTCGGCCGCTGTCCACAGTGCCCTGGCCTCATAAGAGCCCACATATGTCCACTCCCATCTGAGGAATGTGGGATCCATGCCAGGAAGAATGAGGGGAATGTCACAGGATGTTGGGGGTTGGGCATGGGGAGCATCTAACACAGAATGATTTGAAGGGCGGTAGTGTTCAGTGGCTCCTGGCAAAGAGAGGAAAGAGGACCAGCGAGCAATAGACTATGTCCTCAGGAGGAAGGAGAGAAGAAAGGGAGCGAGCAAGAGCCCCCTGGTCCTGGAGCCAGAGAAAACGGAAATGCAGCAGATGTATAAACTCAACTGAAAGCTCATAGCAGAGCTGGCCCGTGAATGTCTCCCGGAGGACCTTCCATCTGTGAGGTGACAGGGAGACACAAACTTCCTGTTCTATTCATTTCTATTCAGAGTTCTAGAGAGCCCTGAAAAGCTGGCAGTGACCGCAGTGCAGACGAAGGGCTTTCTCCTCGCTGCCCTGCCCTGTCCCATCGGGTCTTAGCTGAGGTTGCAGGCTCCATCCCAGGACCAACAACCACCTTGGATCACGTTAGAGAGGCCATGTATTGGAGGGCTGACCACTTTTATTATTTGATGCCCCGATCTTAGAACCTAACCCTCCCTGAGTTGCAAATCACAACTATCAACACATCTTTTAATGTACAGAATTAAGCTTTAAAACGTATGTCAGTCAGGAGATGGAAACCATGCCAGCTATTTAACAAAGAGAGTATAATACAGAGAACTGTTAACCAGGTTTAAAGTTGTTAACTAGGTAACTGAAAAAAAAACTTTTGCAGTATCACAGAAGTAGCAACGGTAAGAAGCAGCTACCACCTCTAGGGCAGAGGGGAGCAGAGGAGAAACTGAATTACTAAAACTTGGAAGTTGGAGGACGACTCCTGCAGCATTGAAATGGAAACGCAGACCTCTGAGAGGGCACGCCACCTTCTGGTATTGGTATCTCTGATGGGGTCACTTTAAAGCTGATTTTTGCAAGACCTGGGAAAACTGCAAATTGGATTTAGAAATTGCTAAGGGAAGAGGCCAAGCTGATTAGCCCAGGAACCACAGGGGACAGACAGGAAGCAATCAGGAAGGAGCGAGTCCCTTCTTCCTCTGCCATCCTTGCCATCTCCCTCCATTACCTCCATTTTGCAGGATCTAATAGAACCAGCTGGCAAAGCATAAATGGAGTTTGCAGAATCCCAGCCCCTGCATCATATTGCAGAGTGTAGAAAGTGAGTTTGGAGCTGAGAGACAATAACTTCAAAACTGGCACAAGGGGATAATATCATACAGAATGCAGTAACCCTGCAGGCACACAGGAGTGTTTTGAGAATAACCTACTCATCCTCTATTCACCCAGAAACGTGAGAGATATCTGAGAGCAGAATAGACCAAATGTCCAAGAATTTGCCATGTGGACTTTTCTTTTGTTACTTCCTTTGGTCGTTCTAGCTCAGCGGTTCCCAAGCTTTCATGTCTAAGAATTGTTGCTTTATAAGTGAAATAAAGAATTTTCTAATTTGACTTGAACTATATGCAACTTTTGCCTTACTAACTTTAGGACCAGTCCCTAGCCCCCAACACCGCCATACACTGCAACCCCACTGGACTCAACGGGGGCAGAATTCTTTAAGAAGAAAAACTGTATCAGTAGGAAAAGCACAGGCCTTGATGCCAGGTCCCGCACAAGGTGTTGATATTCTGGTGCCACTACTTACCAGCTCTAGACCCTTGGGGGCGCCAGTTAATACTCTGAGCTTTAGTTTCTGTTTGCTAATCTGTAAATGGAGATTAAATAAGAAAGCGTGTGGCGAGTAGCAGAGTGGGCCACGGAATCATTCAGTAAGTGGTAACCAGAGAGGGTGTTATTGCTGTTGTTGCAATTAGTTAGGCTCCTCAGACCTCACACCGCACTCGGATCCCGGGCAGAAATTGTTTCTCGCTGATTACTTGAAGGGGGCACTGGCGAAGGGAAGCAGTGGTCAGTAGCAGCAGGTCCAAATGGCGACAGTTTCTCAAGTTTCCACTGAGTTCCCAGAGAAGGGAGTATGGGATTGAGAGTATAAGAGTGCTGGGGCCCAAAAAGGGAGACAAGAGCAAATGCTGGTGAGGCTGCGGAGAAAGCAGAACCCTCACACGCTGTTCATGGGAATGTAAAATGGTGCAGCCACTTTGGGAAACAGTCGAGCAGTTTTTCGAAATGTTAAACACCAAATCTAGCAAATGAAAGATATAAATATAAAATAAATAAATACAGTAAATATGCTAAAACACCGGAAAAGGACCTCTCAATACACTTGAAACTGAACCTGCAAGGAATGACTAAAAGAGGGCAAAATTAGACTGAAGAAGGAAACCTCAGCCCATGGTGCGTAGGGGAGCCAAGAGGAGATTCTCTCAGGCTACTGGGAGCAGCCATATGGATGATTCAGACCCAAGAGGGATGAAGATGTGGGAGGAAATCCAGGGGCCACTGCTGGGGTAATTTGTTGGGACACTGAAGCAGGAGCAAGCAGCATAGTGACTCCCACGCACCCCTGTCATAGTCTGTGATGGGAGGTGTTTTCTAGGTGGGAGAGAGCAAGGGATGAGAGAGTTTACAACAGAGAGACAGCGCAGTACCTGAGGTGGCTGGGATACCCCAGGAGAAAGTGGGAGTGCCTAAGCCCAGAAGACCAGCTGCTGAGATGCCTTACCTGGTGGCAGATCTTGCCTCTCCCCTGCTCTCAATAGCACCCAGTGAGATTCTTGCCTCTTCCCCCCAGTGGGCTGTGCAAACAGAGACAGCCAATGGTCTAATGGAGAATGTCAGCCATAAAAGTGACTTGCACAAGGATCACTAAACATTTGAGAAAAGTCAGTATCATCAAAGAGAGACAAGCTAGAACCTTTCCCAGACTCCCTTGAGGTTAGGTGAGACGACTGACTGAGTTTCAGCCAGTGGAATGTGAACAGAAGTGTGCACACCACTTTTAGCTAGGTCTGGCCTCCACTCTCTCTTTTCCTCTTTCTGCCAGCTGGATTTCAATGCCCAGCATGATACTGGAAGTTACATAATGAGGGAAACAAGATCCTGTGTCAAGTTCTGTGAAATCATGTCCCTAAATTTGCACTTTGTAAAAATGAGAAGTGAACTTCCATTGTATTAAACCACTGAGTTTGGAGTGGGGTGGTTTTTTTTTCCTGTTACATCAGCTAATATTACTTTCCCTGATAAACAGTTTACATTTTAAAACAGTTTCCTTGAAGAAATAAGGGAGTGTATCACATCCATGAAATGAAGAAAGCCAGTTGTAGAAGGGAACCAATTAAACACTTTGTAAATAAAAATATGAAACCATTGAAATTTAAAACTCAGTAGATGAGCTGAATAGTAGAATACATCAACTA